ATCCCTCCTCCTTAAGTTTATTCATGTACAAATAGAATTTTGTCTCAAGAATCAAAAAAAAAAAAAACACAAAACACAAAACGAACCAATCTTAATTAATTCTATCTGGCTATTTGTTATGTAATAAATAATAATATTATTATTTTTCTTTTCTTTGTTTATCAAAGAAACGCCAATTGACTCGCTCGTTGCTTATTTCAGTTACATATTTCCCAATATATAAAGAACACATCACATGATAACAATTATTGCCTTCTTCCATTTCACCTCCTTTTTTTTGGTTGTTGGCTATTTTGGGGGTAAAAAAAGTATTATTTCTCTCATTATTTTATTTGAGGATAATATTCTATGCAAACACGTATTATATAAAAACGCGTAAAAATACAAAAATACAACAATAATAAATTGCATGGATGGATATAATGTATATATATAGATGAGTATCATTTTTTATTTTTATTTTTATTTTTATTTTTATTATCTATTCTTATTTTCATTATTCTTATTTTTATTATTTTTATTTTATTAATTCTAATTATTTATTGATAACGTGTATAATTATTATCATCAGAATTCGTGTTACGTCCCGTCTATTTAATTAATCCGTAGCACGTTCATATTTATTTAACTTTATTTAGTAGAGATTAATGACGATTAACCCAGACTGGGCGAAATCGCCCAAACCGGGCGGAACCTCCCAAGTACAAAGTGGGCAGATTCGCCCAATTCGGGCTAATATGTAAAGAACATGTATATAAAGAATATGATTTCGACCTAATGTAAAAGTAACTTGATAACAAGTTAATTAGTTTCGACTAAGAAAACTAAATAAATAAAATAAATATTTTATTTAAACTATTATCTTTAACCAAAATTATTCGCTAATACCAAAATCAATTCGTTGATCCCCTATTCATTCTGATCCATGCAAAACAAAAATAATTGTTATCACCAATTAAAATACGCTCTCCCAAATTTAATCGGTGACAAACGTTTGGCAATTAGATATTATAATAATTACCAATTGGTTTACATGGATGTTAATAAAGTAATGAAACATTATAATTTCTTCATATAACATAGGAACACATGGGATACAAAGGCAATATTCAATTATGAAGATATCTAGAGGCAAATAATATTGATTCAATTGCACTCGTTATGTATGGCAATTAGCTAACTGGCTTATTTTTATTTCTTCAAACTTTACTTTGTGCATGAAGATATCTAGAGAGGCAAATAATACCAATTTGTAGCAATTAATTAGCTTATCTTTTATGTATTTTAGAGCAAAAAATATTTATAAAAAAAAATAGACAGATAAAAAAATATATAAAGTAAAAAATAAAATAGTTGAAAGAAAGAAACAAAAATTATTTGTAAGAAAAATCAAATCTATATGATCGACTAACAACAACATCTATTAAATCTATACATAAATTCCTCTTATCCATGAGGATCATATCATATATCGTTCTACTGACTACTTCTAATGCACTAGGCACAAACCTATTCATCGAAGGACCTGCCACAATGCCAATAGTTCCCTTTTGGCATTTGGGTAAGCAAGCATCCATTCTAATTCTTTTACAACCAGGTGAACTGTAATTTAAAATAACGTTGATTAATTAAAGTTATTTTTTTTTAGGTAATAAAATTGATACAATACTTATATAACTTCTTTTCCAATTTTTATATTGGTTATAAATAGGAATTTATTTGCTTGTGTATATCGATCCCTTTGTCAACCTGGTTTACTAAAAATTGATAAAATCAAAAATATGAGTTGTTATCATATCAAGAACTATATGAAGAACGTTCACAGTCATTGTATAACTGTGGCCACAATGAGCTTTCAATTTTCTAGTTCATGTATCCTATTCACCATAAATACCCCCATGGCACAGCCAATGCGGGGACATCCAAAACTGGGAAAAGCTGAAGCTGTGGCCTGATGTGCTTTCAATTCCCAAATATTTTACTCAATGTGGTAGCATAACCTCAGATAACACAATAATTTGTCAAACTCAGTAAAATAACTTACTTTGTGTACTTGCATTTAATCCCAACTTCTCTCTACCTCTTAACAACTACAAGTTCAAGCTTTCTTCCCTTAGCAACATAGTGAATTTGTTAAATATATTTTGCATGTTTAAAACTGCTTATAATCAATTGAAAATGAAGATATTGGGATATTCCAATTAAAATTTCAGGTGGTAATAGTGGCAATTTTTTCTAAAAAATGATGGATACTACAACTATATAGAATGACAACGAGTTGCAATGAATCACCATCACTACCATTGTTCTTTTTTAAATAAACTTTATTCAGAACATGTTCCATAACCTTAAAAGGAAAATAGTTGAGTGAGGGTGATGCCTTGGGCTAGGCATGTTTGTGTGATTAATTTGAGTTATAAAAAATATTACGAGAAGACTTCCAAATACAAATACTGATGATCTAGAAGTTTTTTAAAAAATCAAAACAAAAATTATTGGCTAAATTTTATGCAGATCTTTGAAAAAAATAATGCTTTCTTTTTAGTAATATGTGTGTATTTAAATGCTTTACAAGCCCATAAAAAACAACCAATCATAAAATTACAATAAGACTTAATGGCTAATACACACAGTTCATTTTCTATAATGATAATGGATCTTTCTACAACAGACCTTGCTCTATTGTTGTGTATTTTAGGGTTCTGGCACAGAGACCATATTTTTTACTGATTTTTTTATACCAATTGGTCTATTTAGATGCCTGAGGCCCAAATTTTATATCAATTTGATAATACATTGACTAATTATTTATAAACCATATACAAGAATAAAATGCGGTTAATATTTATTGGGCACAGTGAGAATGTCAGCAGAACAAAGTGGATATATGGATAATAAGGCAGAAATAAAAGCACAAATAAAAGTAATTATCAGTTGTGAATGAAGTGAGTAATGTCAGCAGAATGAGATGGAGCTATGGATAATGATGTAGAAATAAAAGTAGTCATAAAGCCACATATATTACATATATTGATAAAGCATTAACATACATCGGAAGCGCAATCAAATTTCTTGATGACAGCAGGGACCCATTCGATGCTGGAAACATAGTAGAAACTCAGGAGGAGGTCAAATATGTGTTCGTCCATCTCCATCATCATTTACTTCTATATTGCTATCTTGAGTTCCGGGAATATTAGTTGATAAGGTGAGCAATTTTTCTTTTTGAATAAACAGGACTACTTCTTGAATTATACCTTGCTCTATTTTCTGGCTATAAGATATTTTATGATTAACTGGCGAAGGGGTAGATATCTGAGATGAATTATGTTACTTTTCCGAAGCCTGCAATAATTGATCCAGAGATGTTAAAGATATTTTTTCAGATTTTAAGGTTCCTTCTCTATTCCTTTACCTTATCTCATTACCGATCCTTTTCTTATATTCTGACTCTGCAAAATTACAGGCCTCCAATGAATCATCATCAACCTCTTTATCTTCTAATGATTTAGTCTCTGTATGGATAAGTGATGCAGAGCATTAAGTTTTCAAATCCTGACATATATCAGGATTTATTTCTGGAGAAATGATGCTTGTGCTTGCTCTTTATTTATAAAGTTAGTATTATTATCTTCATTAGAATAATAACTTTTAATAGATGGTGAACAGGCAGTGGTGGAGTTACTAATAATTCTGTAGATAATGAAGACTCTAGAGTATCATTAGTAGTCTGATTTTGCTTTATTATTTGTTTAGTTTTGTATTCTCGATTCTAATATTAGAAAGTTCTTCTATAATTTGTTTTAATTTGGTGTTTTCAACCTCAAAACTGGCATTTTCTTGTCTCCATAAATCTAATTCAGATGGCATAATCAATAATATTTTTAATGTAAATATAAAATATAAGTTTCTCATAAAAATACGTGACATCCTGACACAATTATCAATCACCAGGGCAGCTTTATTGATACATTAAAAATAAAATAAAAAACTCAATATGAGCAAAACTTTATTGCTTTGTAGATGTAAACTATAAAAAAATTAATTAAAATGAAATTATAAAAAAGAAGTAATGCATCAAAAGCAGTATCATTAGATAGAGGAGGAAGAGACATTAGCCATTGGACAGCCTATCTCGTCTCAAGAGTTAATACGATGTGATATGTCTACTGCTTCTACTGCTAGATAAATCCCCAGGTAACGGCTGTTGTTCTATTTAATAGTTCCTGCTTTAATTGGATACTTAATATCTTCAGTGCAATAAGGACTTATAAGGTTGTGCTCTAATGAGGGAACGATAAGATTATTAAATCCGATTGTAAGGTCGAATTCATTGGTGATATCTCTTGTCAATTTACCAGAAATAAAAATATATACATTATACCTGGAACAAGAGGATCAGGTGAAATTGTTACATCGATTAGGTCAGGGTTTGGACCCCAAGTATTAACACATTTACCAAAAACAGTAGTTCTTTTATGAAGTTGATGTGGAATAGCATTGAACATGAAAATAATATGAATACGAAAATAAAATTTTGTTACATGATTTCTTTTTGATGCAAATAAGGTTTAAGGATGTAATTATGAAATGATTTGACTTCAATGTGAATTGAAATCTTGGTATTTGTATAAGGAAAAAGGTCATATTCCCTCTTTTTTGATTTTTTAGTAGTAATATTAATATATGTGTATCTCATTCAATAAAATTCAGACTATCAAGTAAAAATTACCAAAATAGGTTTTGAAAATCCCATGTTAATGACATTCATAGATTCATTCGATTAAATTGAAGAACAAGTTTGTGAATAAGAATGCAATGCGAACTCTCACTCACCTGCCAAAAGTATCCGGACAAAATGTAGATCATGTAAATTTCCGTGACATTTCTGCGTGTTTTACACAAAAATACTCGAAAACTAGCGAGAAAACATGGCTTTTTGTCCTAAGTAACTGCACTTCAAATGTTCGAAATTGCATATTTCCATTAATATTTATAAT